CTATTTGAGGTTGAATCTATTTGATTCAAAATTAATTGCACAACTTTTAAATGATTATATTTTATTAAAATATTAATATAAACAATTTTATGGGCCAAGTTTCAAACTTATCTAAAATTACCTAATGTGGTTCACTAATGAATTTCAGAAAAAATAATTATTTACTTTATCTGATTCAATCACTTTAATAAATAAATTATTTAAAATGTTGTATAATTTGATAACTCCTTTTATAGTTGTAAGGATGTAATAATTTAGAACAATTTATAAAAATTATATTTGTATATAATTTTGCTGTTTTCAAATGATTAATATAAATATGGTATAATTACATATATAATAAATAGTAAATATTTAATTTACTATTTAGATCTATTTGTAAAATTTTATCTTTATAAATTAGTAAAACAACATGGAATTTGTTTTATTTTTTTATCTTAATCTTTTTTATCACTTTCTAATATTATTAATAATTTGTATTTTATTTTCGGTTGATTTTTATTTTAAGCAAGTTTTTAATAGGAAATATTATTTTTATCCCCTTCAGATTGTATTAACTAAATAAAATACTAAAAAAATTCTTTCTTTGGAGTATGATGTGAATTATTTTTCATTTTGTTAAAATTATTTTAAAATATGGAAAAAGAAATAACCTTATAGTAATATTAATATATATATTGAAATTTTGAATAGATTGGATTATTAATCCTGGAGGTAGGTTTGGTTTAGATAATAACAGAATAGCCATGACATTTAACTTAATTAAAAAATTTTAAGTATTCCATCAAAGTATTATCACTTTCAAATTTACTATTTAACGGAGTAATAGAATTTAAAATAATAATTAAAAATACAATTTATTTAATATTTTTAATAATGATAGTTGATGGAAATATAGATGGGAACAATTTATTAGCTGCTAATCAAAATTCTTAATTAAAATCAACATCAAAGGATATGTTTGCAGTGTAAGTTGAAAGAGCAACAAGAATATCATTAGTTTCAGAAAAAATAGCAAATGAAATGGTTGTCTATAAAGTCCCAAGATTTTCTGAAAAATATAGAAATCACTATAATGAGAGATAAGGAGGGGATTCCACTCCAATTACTACTCTAATTATACACTACACAGTTATAAACTTTTATAGAACACTAGAAGTGTTTACTAGTAATATAGATGTTGGTGCTGTTAGTTCTACATATGTTATCACCTAAAAAGAAGAATAATTTCAAATTCCCAGTGGATAAATAATTCAAATCGTACCTGAAGAAAAGAGAGCATGGCATGCTGGAATTAGCAAATGGTAAAATATGTCTAATTTAAATGAAAATTCTATTGGGATAGAGCTTGTGAATGAAGGAGTGAATAAATAAAATTAATTTGTTCCATTTGATAATTAGCAAATTATTGCCTTAGCATAGCTATGCAGAATTATAATACAAAAATTCAATATATCTCCAGTTTGTATTCTTGGGCATTCAGATATTGCTCCAAATAGAAAAATTGATCCAGGTGTTTTTTTTCCTTGGGGTAAACTCTATAATATTTATGGAATTGGGGCTTGGTTGAAAGATGAAGAATAAACTATTGATGGGATTAAGAAATATGATCCTGAAGAGCCATTGCCAGAAAAAGTAAGTATATCATTTCTATCTCGACATTTCAAAAAATATGGATACGATATTCAGGAAACTAATGTTATCACTAATTAATTTTCAGATGTATTAAAAGCATTTAAGGCTCACTTCTCGTGCAATTAAAATCCTGAAAAGTATAATGATACACCTGATATGAATGATATGATTTGGATATGGGGATTAACAGCCAAATACAGAGATTACTTATAAAATTGATTTAATTTTATTTAATTTATCATATCAATAATTCAATTCAATTATAATGAGCTTTTTAATTAAGTGAAAATATATGTAAGAAATAACAATTATTAAAAATTATTCATGACTCAGTAGAAGTTTTGTAGTAATTCTAATTATGTAGAATCAATAGTTTTTTTTTGTATTTGTTACAAAATATGAATATAAATAATATTGATTCTCGGTTCTATAGTTTCATTAAGAAAAATCATGTTTCTCTTGTAAATTTATACTTTCTTTTAAATAATGGAATTGAGACAGAAACGATTTTCAAAGAGAAATAATAAGAGAAATACTTAGATTGCTTATTAATTTTATAGTAATACAAATACTATATAAATGAGAATTTAATGTTACATAAATAATTAAATAAATGTGATTCAAATTATTTAGAATTCGACAAACAGAAGAAAAATAAAAGAATATATGGGTTGATTACAATTACAATACTTCCATGATCTTTAGTGAGCTACTCATGTATTATTGTTACACAAATGATAATCATTGTTGTTGAAAAGTTTAATATTTTGTAAATATTCATAATAGCAAGACCTTTATTCAAATCAATAATCTTTGAAATTAAATTCTATAAATAAGTTAAAATATAATTAAAAGAAAAATTACAAATTAAATCATTTTGCAAATATAAATACTGAATGGGGAGCATTTTACTGTTGAGGACGCAAAAATCGATAAAATTTCTCTACAAGCCTTCTAAATTATTTATATTTTTTGATCAAGAATATCCATTATTAAATAGCATCAATTATTAATTAAATAATCAAAATTAAACTGATGTTTCCTACACAAATCCATCCAATCGTAGAACGGATATTTTCATTAAATAATTTTACTTCTTAATCTAAAACTAACCCTGAAATAAAAAATAGGGCAATAGATTTATTAATTTCACATGAAATTTATTTTAAAAATTCATTTATGTCCTCCAAGGGTTTAAATAAAAGTAACCATATTATTTCTAAGATAGATAAGAGAATTAAATTGATCACTTAAAAATAAGGTTATTTATAACAAAATATAAGAATAAGCATGAATATAAGCTTTTTAGCTAGGCTTATGGGATAAAAATATTTACTGTAATAATCATTTTTTATTCCTTCAAAAAGTGAAATGAATTTAAGCCTATTTTAATATTCTTAAAGTGAAAATTTTTAGCTTCCACATTTTCTAATAATTATAAAAATTGTGAATAAATAGATTCCCAATGCTAATAAGGCTAGGTAAGAACTGAAGCTTACGAGCAAATTTTTTGAATTTAACTCTAAGGCATAAAGTTAAAGAGTCATTGAAAATGAGTAATCATAAGCTGTTGCAAAAAATGTTCTTAAAATACCACTATAGAAGAATTCCTATACAAGAGTTAAACATAATTAAACTATAAATATTTTTAGAGCTAATATCCAAAACTTACATTTTAAGGCAAAATCAAAATCTCCAGGTATTTCGTTATAATATTTTAATTTAATTTGATTTAATAAATGTGGTAGATATTTAGAGAATGTATAAACTGCAAGTAGTGTTATCCATACAAAAATGATTGAGGTTCCATTTATGATAAATAGGGAATTTAGACCGTCAATTTAAATTTTTTCAGGTATTTAATAAAGATCATCATAATTTATATATGGATCGATCAATTCTTAAAGATTCAAATATTTGGAGAAAAAGCTTAGTTAGGCAAAACCAAAAAAGTCAAAAAATTATTATAAATTAAAAGGAAATTAAGTATTAATATACTTTAAGTATGATAACATTTATATTGTATCTAGTAGATTATAAAAAATGTCTAATCCACCAAATAAAATTGCTCCTCCAGCCATAACAGCCATAATATACAATAATATCTAATTGCTAGACGCAGCCATCTCAACTTAGGTTGCTTATGTTTAGTCAATAAATATATATTCTGGAATGGTTGTTGATACTTCAGATAATACTTATGAGTATCCCTGATATGATATAAAATGTGAAGGATTTAAATATTGGATTAATAAATCTTCTTTTGTGGTACTTCGATTAAAAAATATTTAAAAATCAATTGAAAAACTGATTTTAGATTCATTATTTAAAGTATAATTTGTTTACATTTCATAAGGGCAATCAATAGGATATAGAGTCATCTAATTCTTTATAAATAATTTAATCATTTTTTCTACCTAATCTTCTTAAGAGATATTTAGATATTAATTATATTCTAATTTAAATTTTCTGACATTATTATACAATTAAGTATCACCATAACTCAACAACATTGGAACAGGATATTCTGGAATAATACATATTCCATCTTTACATATAAATTTCTTTTCTTTTTTACATTTTTCATTGCATCCATCTCCTGGTAATAAGTTACCATCATCACATTCTTCTTCTATTGTTTTAAATGAATCTCCACATTTAGAATAACATTTTTTATTAATTTAATCAAAATAATAACCATTTTGGCATAATTAACATTCTCCTTATTAATTTTATTAGTATTTACAACTTATGCAATTGGAAGCACTAATTTTACAATCTAAACATTTTTCAGAACATTAGATACATTTATCTTAAAGTAAAAAATAACCTTGATGACATTTAATACATGCAGATAAGTTTTTAGATTCAACCATTTAACATTCTTAACAATTTTCACTACATTTGAAACAAAATGATGGTTAAAGGAGAATATTTATACATGAATATTACTCATCTATCTTACAATTAGTACAACCATCTCTAGAATCATCATTGCCATCATCACATTCTTCTTCATATGTCCATACTTTATCATTACAATTTTTATATCTACAATTCTTATTGATTTTTCCCTCATCTGAATCACATGGCCAACAATCATAATTATCATTTTCAAAATAACCATCTTAACAAATACAAGTGTTTTACTATTTTAATCTATTCATTTAAGAATTACAACTTAAACAATTATCAGACTTTTAAGTACAAGTTTTACATTTTTTATCACACAATTAACATGATTTATTATCTAAATAATGATTATCTTCACAAACACATACGTTCATTTATAAAATAAGATGATCTGATTAAATACATTCAGTACAATGTTAAAAGCTTTAACATCTTTTACACATTTGATCACAAGGTTTACAATCTTAACCATCTTCAAAATAACCATCTTAACAATAACATTAATTATCAATTAAAATTTAAATAGTATTGTTGCAAGAAGTACAAAAATTTGAATCATTTTCACATGTTTAACATTTATTAGAACAAGGAATACAAGATTAATTGTCATAATAAAATTTATCAAAGCAGCTTATACAATTAATTGAATCTATGCAATTTTTGCAATTTTAGATGCATTAAATACAAATTCCAAGATTATTCATAGTATAATTATCAATACAGGTTTCACAATTATATGCATCAAAACATGATAAACAAGGGGTTTAACATTTTAAACATTATTAATTTTATAAATAATACCCATCTATACATTCACTACAATCATTATATGAACTACATTTGTTACAAATCTAATTACATTTTTCACATTTATTATCCAGTATATAATATCCATCTATGCATATACATTATCCTCCAATTACTTATTACTTTGCTTAATCATAACAAGATGTACAATAATCTTAATTAGATACACAAGTTAAACAAGGAAGTTAACATAGTTCACAATTCATTGAATTATTTTTAAAATAACCTGGTTGACATAAACAATCATTTTGATTTAATACTTAATTAGGATCAGAACATCCTAAACATTTATTTGATTAATCAATGCAGGAGGAACATTATGGTGAACACTATATGCAATTAGTTCCGGTTAGAAAATAACCCTATTAACATAAACATTTATCATTATCAAGATGGAATATATTAGTATCAATGCAAGATACACATGTATTTACACTTGTTGAACAATCAAGACAGGGGTATTAACAAAGGGAACAAGTTGTTCCATCAGTTCCTGATTATCCAAATCCAAATTTACAAACACATTTATTATTGATTAAATCATGATTTGGATCTAAACATTAAAGACAATGATCATTAGAAAATTGACATTTTGTACAAGGAGATTAGCATTGTTAGCAAATATGATTGACATCAAAATATCCATCATTGCATATACATTAATTATTGATTTGAGTTTAATGAATATCAGTGCATGTTAAACAATGATCCTAATTTATTTCACAAGTTTAACATGGAGTTACACATTATGAACAATTTAAGCCTACTTAATAATATCCTGGTTTACAAACACAATTTTTAGAAGAATTTATTATTTAATTAGTATCAATACATGTTAAACATCCATTGATGTCACATAATGCACATGGTTATATACATGATGCACATGTATCAGTAGTATTTGAGTAGTAAGTGTCTTTACAGATGCATTGAAAAGATGCATTAATTTAATGATTAGGATCTTTGCAACTATCACAATGAGTATCATTTACTGAACAAGTAGAACAAGGAGTTTAACAAGGTATACAATTATAGCTATTATCATTTATGAAACCAGGATTACAAATGCATTATCCATTAGATATATAATGTTCACTATCTTTACATTAAGTACAGTAGTTAGTAGTTCCTGAACATTATAGACAAGGATTTAGACAAGCTTCACAATTTATTCCATTCATTATAAAACCAGGATTACATTTGCATTCATTAGATGCATCAACAGTTTAATTAATATTATCTATACATGTTAAACAATGATCTGCTGTTCCTGAACATGAATCACATGGTTAAGTACAAGACTGACAATCAGTAGGAGTATTAGTTACTACTAGATATTTGTGTGCAGGACAAACACATGTATTTGGAGTAGTTGTACTCATTTCAAATGTAGTTGCACACTCTAAACAATGATTACCATTAGTTTAACACTTAAGACAAGGATGAATACAAGGTTGACAATTTAATGATGCATCCATAAATTATCCATCAGGACAACCACCACTACTACATAAATTATTGATTGGTGTTATATTTGAATCAACACATGATGTACATTTTGTAGGAAGATCTACACAATTGTAACATGGAGCAGTACATTATAAACAAGTATTTCCAGAAATGTAGTAATTTTATACACATGATGTGCATATAGTTTCTGAAGTACAATTTTAGCAAGGGGCAACACAACTTTAACACATAAAAGAGGCATTCATAAAATAGGTTGGTTAACATACACATGATGATCCTGATTAATAAGTCGGATCTTTACATGATGTACATACTGATAATGAAGTACAATAAATGCATGGTTCTTAACATGGTTAACAAGTAGTATTTTCATAATATCCATCATCACAAACACATTAATTAGTTTATAGATTTCTATTTAATCCAATTACACATGAACCACAATTAGTTGCAGATAATGTACAAGTTGCACATGGACTTGTACAATTTTGACATGATTTTGTTGTAGCATTTACTTCATATTAATTAGTTAAGCATGAACATGTATGAGTACTCGAATCTATAGTATATGTTGCAGCACATGTTAAACAATAATTTACTGTTGTTTAACATGTAGCACATGGAAATACACATTAAATGCATAAGTAACTTGTAGTATCCATTATATAACCTGATTGACAATTACATAGAGACAGTGTTTATTTAGCAGTATCAACACAACTACTACAATTATTTCCGTTCGATGAACAATTTACACATGGTTTTATGCATGGACTACATGAGTTAACATTTAACCAATAGCCATCATTACATTAAGTACATATAGTTGTAGAACTACACACCCTACAATTACTTGGACATCCTTCACATAAAAATGTTGATGCATTCATTATGAGCCCACTATTGCATGAACAACTAGGAGTTGCTTAATTTGCAGAATCAACACAAGTAGAGCAGGTTGTAACACTTGTTGAACAGGTTGCGCATGGTTTAGTACATGCATAACATGCTTTATTAAAAAGATAGTAACCATCATGACATTCATCACAATTTGAGCTATTACCATTGAATAATTTACACGGATTTGTACTTTAGCATGCTAAAAATATTTTTCTAATTACTTTAATAGAGAATTCCACCTAATATTAATAGAAAAAGGATACTATTTTATCTCATTCTATTTTTTGAGTTAAATGAAAAATTTTGAGGATTTTATTTATATTATTACACATTAAACTGTATCATCTTAAAAATTTTAAGATAATTGAATTATTAATTATGAATTTTATATAATTTATTATATGATGTAATAAAACTTAAATGTTTGGAATAAAATATAAATAAACTCTATGGTATATGAATATAATATTATTAGGTCTCAATAATATTGAACTAAGCAAAAATAAATGAAAAAAAACTAAGAGAGTGACAAATACGCAATACTGGAAGATTAATTAACAAAATTTTAATTAGCAAACCATTATTTTCCTTAATAGCAGATTTATTATTAGACATGACGAATATTTAATGTTATTGTTTAAAAAAATATGATTTGAAATAATTGCATTATTCTTAAAATCTTTACTTATTACTTGATTCTAAAATATTTCAGAAAATTGAAAGGTCAATTTTCACGTTAATATCATCATTTGTAGAGGAAAGTTTTAATTGCGCTGCATAATATATTAGGGGGATAATTAAACCTGGAAGATTCATTCAATTTAATTATATAAAATTAATTAATTATTTATCAAATTAAAAAAAAATATATTATATATTTATATTAGGCTTTATTTTATTTTAACATTTAATCAAGAAATTTTTTTTTATTTTAACTACTAAATTATTTTTCATTCTAGAAAATATCCTAAATGATACTTAAAATAAGTTAATGTAATTCAATATTCTTACAAAATTGAAAATTGATATATTTCCTGGTATCGTTGATATTATAAAGAATATAATGGAAAATCTCTAGAACTGAATCCTTCTAAGTCTTACCACAGATATTATTTATAAATATCTGAAAATTGTAAAATATTAAAAAAAAATGAAATCTTTTTTCAAAGTACTTTTTTGTGAGATTCTCATATTTACATCTTATTATTTTAAGATTAATATATATTAAGAAAATAAAAAATAATATATCCATAGTATAAAAGATTAATTTATTTAAAATTCATTTAAGTATTGATGATTGATTAAATTAATTGATTTCTTGGAAATAAAAAACACTATTATATTTTCAATTAACAAAACTCCCAATTTATTAAAAATATCAATTTGTGACATTTGTTTAGTTCAATTTAAATAAATAATAAATAAGATTAATCATTAATTTTTAGGACATCAGCATTCATACAAACCTATTTTAATTAAAAATTAAAAGAATAATTAAAAAACTACAATTAATATAATTATTAGATAGAAATTTAGAAAAACTATCAATCCAATTTAAAAGTCGTATAAATAGAATAAGAATATAAATTATTAATTTATTAAGCAATAGTTCATATCATGTAATTTTATTGGTTTATTTTGGGTATAAAAATATAAATTAAATAGATTATTTTCATTTCTTATTTCTCCTCTCAAGTCTTTAAATATTAATCTCAATCTTATATTCTATCTTTAGTTTTATAAATCATAATATCAAGCCTATATTGATATTACCACAAATTTCACATGTTTTGAAATTGTTATTATAAATATATCATGAAGTTTTCTTATTATTATATTATAATGTATTTATATTGTTTCTACAATAAAAATAATATTTATTAAAATAATCCTTATTTGTATTAAAATATAGAATTGTTTAAATTTAAAATTTGATTAATTTCAATATAAACTTTTTTAGGTTACTACTTTTTTGCAACAAAATTAGATTTATAATTTAAATAGATTAGTTTAAAGTTTACAACATTTATACTAGACTAAAAGAAAGAAGGCAATGCATAAAATATTTGTTTTTGAATAGATGGATTAAAATAAATAATAAAAACAGTGTTCCTAAAATGATTTTTGAGAGAAATAAACAAAGAAATTGAAGAAAAACAATAAATGCGCAATCTAATAACAACCTAATATGTCCAAAAGAAATTAAATCTAAAA